TTAAATATAAATTTATATGATATATCATAGAAATCATATGATTTTATATAAGGGTGGACTAAAAATTTGGATGTAGAAGTTCAATCTATATCCTAAGCTAAATTAAATTAAAAAGTTCAAAATTTAAAAAGAGTGAAATATTCAATTCACTTTACTTTTAGTTTAGATATAATTTAGATTTTATTTTACAAAACTGAATATACTTTTATTAAAACTGGTTTTAGTCCATTTCTTCATGTACTCTTTGTCTAGCATGGCTACAATAGGTAGTTGAAAATAAATAGAGATATATGTACGATGATTTTGAGTTGAGCATCTTAATTTGAATTTTTTTTAAAATGTTGACCGTACATTTCTAGTGTGAGTAAACGAGTATTTTGAATAAAATTATAATATATTATAAAAATTAAAGATACAGAAACTTATAATTTTATGTGATCGTAAAATTAATTAAATATAATATACTAGTAAAAATTAAATAAATTAAAAAATATATTTTAATAAAAATATAATTTACATATATAATACCATATAAATATTATAAAGTATATACAAAACAAAATTATATATATATATATATATATGCATTTTAATTTTTGATAAATTAAAAATGATAATAAATATTTTATAAACTTTTATAAAATATAATATAATTAATAAATATTATTAAATTATTTTTAAAATGTACTAGTTTAATGCAATGGTGTATACAACAAATTAGTTTTATCTTAAAAAAATAAATTCACACATATATTGAAAATCAGTTTTATCTTAAAAATTAAATTTAAAACTGGATTTAAAACTAATTTAATGTAAAACTATTTTTAATAAAAATTAAATTTAAAACTAAGTTTTAAAAAAATTAAATTTTAAAATTAATTTTATTTATTTAAAAAAATAAAATATTTTAAAATTTAATTTGTATAATTAGTTTGTATGGTGGATAGATAATAAAAAATAGAATATATGCAAATATATATATATATATATATATATTAATTTAATACAATATAAGAATAAGAAAAACTATATTATTAATAAATTAAAATATATGCAAATATAATTTTATATTAGTTATTATAAAATTTAAATATTTTTAAAATAATAATATAAAAATATTTATTGTATATTTTTGTCTAATTTAAAATTGATTTTAAACTAAATTTAAATTTTAAAATTAAATTTAAACTGATTTTAAAAAAATTAAAATAAATTAATTTAAAATATAATTTATATAATTAGATTTTAAATAGATGTAGATTAGTTTTTGAGAAGTAGAGTCCATGTACGCCCATAATTTTAGACATGTAATGTAGAAATCATTTTACATACTTTTAAAGTATGTAAAAATAAGATTATTTATTTATATTTTATTATTATTTAATTTTAATAAAATTTAATAAAAATAATTAAAATAATATATAAAAATTTATTAATATCAACTTTTAAAATTAAAATTAAATATTTAAATGTTCAATAAATTTTATTGAAAACTAAAATATTTATTACAATAAATATTTTTATTTTTAATACAGATTTATTATTATTAGATATTTAAACTCAATTTTAAAAGTTAAAGTTAATGATTTTCATATATAATTATAATAATTAATTTATTAACATTTATATTTATATTAAATCAATACTGATATTAATCATTACCAAAAAAAGAAAAATACTGATATTAATCGATTCTTTTAAAAATATTATTAGAAACTAATATGAAAGTGAGTAATTAAAATAAAATAAGTAAAAATCGACTAAATAATTGAAAAGATATTAAAAGCAAAAAGGTTAAAGTTTGAGTGATAAATGAATATAAATATTAAGATGGTATATATGCCTAGAAGTCAGAAATATGAAGAAAATAACAAACATAGTTAAGTGTGGATAAGGATCGAGTCCCATAACTAGATGGTTCAGTTAGTTAATTTTACACTTTTATTTAAATAATCTTTTTTTGTGAAAGTGAAAGTGTAAAATTTTGTTTGACTAATGGTCTAATTCTTGCAAAAATGTGAGACTAGATCCCTTTAAGTATTGACATGCGACATAATAAGTTGCACTTGATAAATATATCATGATTAATAAAAAATAATTTTAAATTTATATTATATTCTAAAATTACATATAGTATTATAAAATAATTAAACTAGTAATATATATATATATATATATATATATATATATATATATATATAATAGACAAGTGTTTCATTAGCACAAATTTTTCATAATAAATGAAGACATAAAAATAGTTAAGTAATTATTTTATAGAAAAATAGATTTGTGTCTTGTAATCATGAATAAAAATTATATTAATTATTTCTTATAAAAAATAGTATAAAATACTGCATTGATGTAACAAAGAATTAGTAAATTAGATATAGAAAACAGGTAGGGTGAGACCAATGTAAACAATGTTTAGGAAGCCTTGTTCAGAGAACAGTATCTTCCACCTGATTTAATGGAATCAATATAAATTTTAAAGAGAGAAAAGAATCCAAACATGATTTTTGGAGACACCAAACCGAAATAAGATACACATAAGATTTCACAGCCTTAATTATAAGGTCCGGAAAACTAATGATAGAGGTGTAGTTTTTCTGTAGAAGAAAATCTTACTGAAGTTGTATCAGACACAACACTGTAAAAACCCTGCACAATGTTAGGTACTTGACTGTCCCTAAAGGCTAAAACACCATGGCATCTACTTTTGCCCCTACCTTACTCCCTTACTTGCCATTTTCATGAGGGTCTCAGATATTTGGATTCACACACAGTACTGTTCTTATAGATAATAATAAATTTTATTTGGAAGTACTTTTTGGATGGATGGTTTTGTTTTTATCATGGGGGGGAAGAATGTGGAGAAAGCAACTCTTGGCTCATGTCCTTCACCACAACAAAAGAACGAATAGTCCCCACCAATAAGAGCCTTTCAGACTCCAATGTTTGGTAGGAAGTTTTAAATAAAAGGGAGAATGTTTAAAAGCCACGGAACAAGCCATACAAAACCAGAATTTGGTACCCCCACAAGTTGCAAAAATGAACCATTATTGAGATTGAATTCCATCAACTACTATATTTAAAACATGTCCTAACATTAGAATATTGAGACCATTCGGACCCCAATAAATAACAATTGATGGCGGCCATATTGATGGCCACATTGGGCTAAGACTCAAAACTATATAAAAGAATAGTGTAGTCCCCTACACGAGTCATGTTTGAACAAGAAACAGTCCTTGCCTCATTTAATATTTGAACTAAAATCACCCAGCACCTCACATGGCTTACATACACTGACATTACGCAGAGATGTTTACACGTGAATCAAAAGAAGAAAATTTCAAACCTTGGGGCTATCATAGTTTAGGCAATATCAGATTCACAATAGTCAAGGATCTACACCAATATTACCTCCTTGTCTTAACTTCACGAGGCATTGTTCATCCCAAGATATGGACAATTTTTTTAGTAAAACTTACAAAATTATTATGCTATGTCAACATTTTCCCCCCATATGATATGGTGATAGAAACTAACAACCTATGGACACCCTCCTTAGGCATGACCCGATAGGCCATTGTTACATGCATGTTTAATTGAGATGATAAACCAATGTTAACGTGTTATAACAGTACAAGAAATATATTTAAATTTTAAATCCATATGAAGCATAGATAAAACATAGTTAAAGTTTGAATTTATTTTATAAAGCATTCTTACTAAAGAACATGGAATAAGTGTGATGTCAAAATTCAGGTGTTTAGTGGCTAGGATCATAGAGAAATTATGATTCTACAGCATCTTTGGTCCCTTCTTGTCAAAGCACTCAAGATACGCACAAAACTTTGCTCCATAAATCAATGAGGATTCTCAAATCTATCATTTATTGTTCATAAAGTAGCTTGAGTGAGCTATGTATCAAATCTTAACGTTTGCTCCATATTGAAGATTATGATAAAGACTCTCCCAGCCGTCTCAAAATATTTATTTATCTCATTTCAAATACTAATAATAATTACAATGATTTGATCCAACCCACTTTCAACAGCACTGAAAGGATAAAGCTCAAGAGAATAGCATCCAAACAAAGTTGGCTTGCAATGGTTGCACACCCATATTTTACACAATCATTAATCATATACGAATAACAATATCAATTATTTGCCAAGGAATAGGTCACTTTGAAGCTACTTAAATTGCATTGGATTTTGAAGCATTCAAGAAAAGTTGTGATATGTGACATTGCCAATTTATTATATTCGCACGGAAGATAATGGTGCCATCTTTGCCATGCCAATAGTAACCCATCACTAATCCTTCGAAACATGTACCAATTAAAGATTCCACAAAGTTGAAGTAAGAACTTACCAACATATTAAGTCCTAGAGGTTTCTACCTTCTCCTTTTCTTTCTCATTTTTCTTTATTTCTTTCACAATTTCTATGAAACCAAACAAACAAGCTAAGCAAATTTCTGTAACCCGGATAAGATGGTGCTGTGTCCTTGTCCAGTGTCCACTTAGAAGAATCTTATTCAAATGCACGCTTTAATTACACAATTCATATTTTTATTACAATACTAAAGTTATTTATTTTTATTATTTTTGGTTAGTCCATTTGTCTTACCTTAAATCTAATGGTTGACCGCGTCGACATCGCCGAACATATCCGTCCAATTTTCATCATCTTCTAATCTCTCCACGTGGCATTTTCACCAATTCTAGAGGCCGGTGCCGGTGCCAATCAGTGACTGCCGAATATTAAATCAGTTTAACCCCTAAAAAATAAAATAGCAGAAGTAGTTGAAACATTATCTTACTAGATTGACAATTATTAACAACAATATTTTTGTCATGCCCCCAATACATTTAAGGTGAATTATATATATATCTTAGGCTTAAATTGACTAGCCTAGCAAGCATAACATGTTAGTTTGGAATGGGTTAAAGAGCTAAGAGACTAAGAACCTGTTTTTACTATAACTGTGGGGTGCTAGAAGGAGCTGTATAGATAGAGACCCTTGCTTACTTCACCTCCTTCCCTTTCTTCCTTCATTATCTCTCTCATTTTCTTCTTCTTCTTCTTTGTTGCAAGAAGCTAAGATAAGAGAAATGGGAAATTGCCAAGCTGTGGATGCTGCAGTGCTTGTGATCCAGCACCCTTGTGGGAAGATAGAGAGGTTGTATTGGCCAGTCACAGCAAGTGAAGTCATGAGAACCAACCCAGGTCACTATGTGTCTTTGATAATACCATTGCCTGTGCAACCACATGACCAAAACCAAGACCATAAAACGGTGCGTTTCACCCGTGTTAAGCTTCTTAGGCCTAATGAGACTCTCAATCTTGGCCATGCTTATAGGCTCATCACCACTCAAGGTATGTATATATAATATATATTCATGTGTGTTTGTGTGGTCTTAGATCTTTCTAGTGAATCTTATAAAGGGTCAATTACTGTTTTGAAAGGGTATGTGTTCGTGTGATTTCATGTTCTGAGACCTTCTTTTTATGGTTTTAGAGGTTATGAAGGTGTTGAAAGCAAAGAAACATGCAAAGACAAGAAAGCCACAAGGAGAGACACTTGAGAAGATGCATACAGTGCAGATGGAGAAGCAGGGTTCAGCTAATGAGACACAAGCAGAAGGGGAGTCTGACCCTGGAAAGACAAATCAGGTATATCACATATGAACAATCCTTTTCCTCTTTTCCCTTTGGATTAATTATTATTCCATGAATAATATTCTAGTATGAAGTTGTTTTTTGAGTCCATCCCAACAGTGAATCCACTGAACACTTTGATCTATAGATGCTGAATCTCTCGTGTATGTATGCTTTAAACAAAATATACATATATTGATACCATGTGTCATGCAATCCTTTCCAAAACTTGGCCAGGAGGTTATAATTATATGAAAGTATTAAACTCTAGCCATTGTTTTTCTTTTAAAATTAAGAAAATAAGTAATCATAGCCAAATGATATATAAACCAGTATTTTGGAGCCCATGTTTTGCTAGAAACTGAATTTTAAACACATTTTTTTCTTCAGTTTTAGAAGTTTTCATTAGAATTGATAATAAACAGCATAATGAATTTCAGGGAATGGGAGCAGAGAGACAAAGACTAAGGGTGCCTTCAGGAAATCCTGCTGTACTGAGGTCAAAATCCTGGCGCCCCTCTTTGCAAAGCATTTCAGAGTCCACAAGTTGATTGGTGCAAAGTTGTGGCATGCATAGTGGCCCATAGAATGTTATATGATTGCCTCTATAGTGTCAGATGTTCGTCCTGGATTATTCATGTTACATGGGCATGGAAATTCAACAGAGGTTTGAACCAAGATTTTAGATTTCTCTTCCATCACTAATCACACCCTCAACAGCAAAACCATGCTCAAGTGGTAACATGTTTGTATAGCACCAACAAGAAGAATAAGAAAAGACAGAAAAAATAGAGTAATGAATGTAAAAATCTATTAGAGTGAGTTTTGTGATTGATATAGTTACAGCAGCATCCACACCTTTCTTTTAGTTATTAGATTTAGCAAATGAGCAATTCCTACGGACAACTTGAAGAGAACTTTTTTATTGCAAAAAAAGAAAAGGAAAAAAAAAACATGAAGGGGAAATAATTAATATTAGTTGAGTTCCAAAGTTCCAAGTCCATACTAACATAATTTTGACCCATAATGTTGATGCTCTTGCAGCCAGAATTGCTGCTAGTAATTTTATTTTATTTTTTCTATACAGCAACCAACATATCCGTGAATGTCTCCACCAATAATATGCCAGGACCACCATACTCCTAGAACAAAAACTCACAAAATATCTGTTTTCCAACCTAGACCAATTAAAAATCTATAACTCAAAGCTCAAATTGGAATTTCAAAAAGCCACCGTTTGATTCAAGACTGCATCAAATGATAGGTAGCACGTCAAAACATTGTCAGCTTTGGACCAAACAGGTCAGAAAATTTGAAAAACTTTGATAGAGGTTTTCTAAAAATTAGTGCTGATTGTGTAGTATTTTTTTAAAATTTTTTGTTGGGTGTCAATTATTGTACCGTTGCATATCAGGTATGGCCTCCTAATTGAAAAGAGAGTAAAAGAAGTTTCTTTATTGCAGAAGGAAATAAATACACTATCGGACAATAGACAGCTGAATAAGGAAAGGTTTGATATAATTGAAATGTTATTGACCACAAAATTCTGATAATGGCTTGGCCCAGATTCTCCAATAGTTTAAAGAGAAATATTTTTTCACTCAAAACAACCCTTTTATTCATTTGTTAAAAGAGAATTGTGCACCAAGAGCTTGAAACAACTTATCTTTTAATCAACTCAGTCTCTAATACGCATATACTAGTAGCATCCAATGTATGCCCAGATACCAAAACTAATGTCAATTCAAATTAATTCATCGGTTTTTTCAATGTGTCCAAGGCCAAATGATAAGAACTTATATATAATTATATTTTATTAAAAATTACAAGATATTTCAAGATCCAATATATTTATGACATTAAATACAATTATATTCAACATAAACTTATTATTATTATTATTATTATTATTATTGTGTACTCTTAGACACATGCTAGAAAAGTTGATTAATCATTATTTGATAATTTAACTGGTGAGTCTTGATCCTCATGAGTCATGCAATGACTAAAATAGCAAGTAGGGAATAAGCCTGAAACATCACGTTAGACAGGGTCCATGACTGTATAGGTAGCCAATAAGTACTAGTATGGGCCTGACATCCTAATACAAACCGGCATGCAAACTGAACTCTTATGAAACTCATGATAACAGTAATAGTTGTACCATAGTATTATTTTTCATAAGGTACTGTTTTCTTGATATTTTACCCATTACATAAAGGATAAATAAAGAAATAAAGTCGTGTAACTCATTTCCTACCTTCTCATGTCTCAGCATTTCCAATAATCAACATTTCTACTACTTCCATTATTTCATCTATCCAAAGAATTGCATATCACCTCACGAGTCATGACTAGAACCAAATCAGACAGTCTATCTCCACTGATTGAGACTCAAAATAGACAACCAGGTAAACCTAACTTAGGATTTTTTATTTTTTTTGGCAATCATTAAGGAAAATTAAGTAATTATAACATCCTGCCAACCAAGGACCACAGATCAAATCTGCAATAAATTCTCAATTACTCTGAAGGGAAAAAGAAAAGGTCCATATAAAATAAAGGCACATGCAAATGGGACCTATATTGTGACTTATCAGTAAACATTTGCGATATTCTTATTAATGTTACATGATTTCTTCTAGGAAGAGAATGTTGGCCACAAACATTAATGAACTAATTCCTTTAGATGTACCAATATTGGCCACAGAACTATGATATATGTCCTTAATGTGGGTATGATAATCGATAAGGTTATTATCAGTAATTAAACACAGGTATTTCAAATTCATTTTAGGATCCCTCGTAATAATTATAGAGATTAAATTCTCCGTCCCATCCTGCCCACCTTCTTTGACGGAACTTTGCTGAAGCTTAAGCATTTGAATATTATGGATTATATGAAACTAAAAGTGATGAACAGAACCCTTGACTTATGATTAGCCTGTGTTTCCAAACAGAATGCTTGAAAAGATGAACACAGCATATAATAATTGACTTTTGTTTTTTCAAAAAAGATACTGAAGATCACCATGAAACTCATGCTATATAAGAGATCAATTACTCTCCAAGAGTTATCTTTACTAAATTTATAAAACCAGAACTTACATATTACAATAAGACAACACTAATTTATCTTTCTAATCAAAAGCAGAATTTCTGTTTATATGCAATCAAGAAAGTTCACTAATAATGCTTTTGAATTGAAGTTAAATTCACTCAAAGTCTCAAACGTAGATCCCAACATTATAAGTTGTAACTTTCAGGTTGAAACTTAGTAACGCGATTATTAAATGTTTCCAAAAATGTAATAAATGTGTAAACACTTGCCATCGTAGCCATTGTTCTAATACTTGAAACATAAGATGCACAATTATTTTCTTTTAGTAAATACCGCCAGTATTAAAACAAAAATAGAGGAAGACGTAATTGGCATTGCTAAAGAAGAATTAACATGTCTTCAAATTTTTCATTTATAAAAAAATGAAAATACTTATTATTTGATTAGATGAACATGGCATTTCTCAAAAATTGACTAGAGGAGACATGTTAACACATTAACATCTGTAGCAATATGTTAACACTGTGCTAAGATGGATAGTAAATCTAAACAAACCACATTAATTATAAATAGCATTTGGTGCATGGATGGAGCATTCCTTTCTTTTCCATTTTCTTAGTTTAAGTCTTTTTAGTAAACTCAAATTTTATCCTTTTTTTACACACATGTTCTATTCTATTCTATTTCTTACATGTATCAAATACAACAAAACTTATCTTCACTTGAATAAAATATTAAGATGAATAATCATAGTTGACACCCGATGGATTTGAGCTTGGATAAAATGTTAGCATGAATCTTGGATGTGATTTTAACATTTCAATTTTGTATAGACCAAAATATTATTTCCAATTCTTTTTGTCATTTATTTTTTGGCCTCATACTCACCATTTAGATTGATATATGTGAGAAAATGTTAGAAATGCCAAATATACAGGCCCATTTAAGAAGAGGAGCACATGTGAAGGGGAGAAGGAATTGGATACTAGTATTACATTTATTATACAGCTCCCTCCTCTCCACTAGTATATATTATCTCCTTAATATGAAATTTTTAAGTAACTATTTGGTAAAAATAGTAAAAATATTATTGCTGAAAACTTGTAATTTAAAATTTATAATTAGTTAATTAAATTATAGTTATTTGATAAAATTAATTAAACTGGTAGGTAAAATGTGTCAAATGACTTAAAAATATATTAAACTTATTTTATGTGATTATAAATAATTTAAAAGATTAAAAGTAAAAACAAAAAACAGTATTAGAAATTAGTTTTAAATAAGCTAAATGCTATTTAAAATTATTAAAGTGAGAAAATATAAACTTTCAAAAAAAAGTGAGAAAATGTACTTTACACAGGTTAAAATATTTATAAAAAATACTAAAAATTTACTTTTAACATAAAAGTTTTTAAATATAAATTAGAATAAGTTAGTAGATTAGTCTCTTAATTCTTAATTTTATTTTAGTTAAATTATCTAAATTTTTTATTTTATTTTAACTTTTAAAGTATTTTAAATAAGTCTTTTTTTAATATTAATTTCATTATAAATTATTGTTTATTTTCTTTTCCTTTATTCTTTCTTTTTATCTTTTTTTTTCCTTTCTTTTTATCTACGTCTCCATAGAGAAAGATGGTCCAGTGCATACAGTTAACAATAAATACAAAAGAAGAGAAAGATCAAACAGATAGATGAAGAAACCAATTTAGAGAGAAATTTGTGGAGACAAGGACAAGGAGCTAGAAAAGAAAAGAAAAAGGACAAAAAGGTAAATAAAGAAAAGGAGATTTAAAAGTAAGATTAGAAGTTGAAATAAAAAAAAATTGTAGAAAAAAAAACATTATAATAAAGACACAAAACACAACATCAACATGCGAACAAATTATGATACACAAAAAGTACTTGTAATTTTAAAAAAATAAAATAAAATGTATGCGCAACTTTAACAACGTTTAAGTTTTTGAAAAAAAAAAAACAAAACAGCGCAGATTATTTATTTTACCAAAAAATTTTAGGTGTCACTTAGTTAACGCCCGTTTCACGTAATGTCAGTTTCGTAACGTCACCTAAAATAGTTAGATTTTTTTTTTTTAAAAAGGCACAAAGTCGTTTGTCTTTTTGTCAAAAAAGTCAATGTATTGTTTTTGGTCAAATAAAAAAAATTTCGTTATCGATATTTTTGTCCAACAAAAACTGGTTTTCTTTGAATGATAGATCTAGTTTTAATCGGCATTGGGCAGAAGCCCAAACAAAAATATTTCAATCGCCCCAGATTTCCATCTTCATCATGAATACTGTTTAGAACAATCTCACATTTCTTAAGACCAATAAAGGTTGTTGACTGAAAAAGAGACCAATAAAAATCTGACCCAAGAGAAAGACCAATAAAAGAAGTATCCCATATTTCCTGTATTAATATTTTGTAACAAATATTCTCCACAACATACTTTCTTCTTCAAGATATAATCAGATACTAAATATGCATATCTCTTTGTCATCACTTCTTTTTTCATGTGAATCCTGATTCATCACTTTGTTAGAGACTTTCTATTTAACTCAACCCTCTTCCTCTATATTTCCTATATATTAATTCTCTTGCACTCTCAGAGGAGTAGATATGTGAAGCATGCTCACCTTATAAACTAACAAATAAAGGCAAAAGCTTTAGGCATAGAGCTTGCATGTATTGAAATTTTCTATAAAGTTAAATGCTTAATAAATAAAGGGTGAACATATACTAATCTTTTTGTCATTTCTGACCAAAAAGAAAGAGGAAGGTAACGTTGCTGTTGAACGTGACAAAATATGATTCTATTACTTAATATAATCAATATTAAATCAACTGATCAATTCATAAGAAACCCAATGAAGATGGGCACTAGTAATTAAGTAGTTCCTTTTCACCTTTTAGGTATGCAATGCAAAGTGGGGATTGGTGATCGCGTTACAAATTATCAAATATAACTAGCATAATTCAACTCAGAATACTAATGTTG